CCTTCAAAGAAACTGTGCATAAAAGCGCAAACTGTGGTCCCTGAACCAGCAGTATCAGCATCACCTGGGAACTAAATGGAAATGTAAATCTGGGGTCCCACTCCACACTTACTATATCACAAACTCCAGGTGTGGGACCCAGCAATCTATGTTTCAATCAGCCCTGCAGGTGATTCTCATGCTCCCTCAAGTCAGAGAAATGCTACCCTAAAAAATCCTCAGAGGAGATGTTGCAATCATGAAATTAAAAACAATGTGCTTCTGTTTAAAACAGCCAGGATATGGAAGCAACCTAGATGTCCATCAGCAGACAAATGGATAAGAAAGCTGTGGTACATATACACAGTGGAGTACTACTCAGCTATTAAAAAAATGCATTTGTATCAGTTCTAATGAGGTGGATGAAACTGGAGCCTATTATACAGAGCGAAGTAAGTCAGAAAGAAAAACACCAATACAGTATATTAACACATATATATGGAATTTAGAAAAATGGTAATGATGACCCTATATGCGAGACAGCAAAAGAGACACAGATGTAAAGAACAGACTTTTGGACTCTGTGGGAGAAGGTGAGGGTGGAATGATTTGAGAGAATAGCATCAAAACATGTATATTATTATATGTGAAATAGATCGCCAGTCTAGGTTCAATGCATGAGACAAGGTGCTCAGGACTGGTGTATTGGGATGACCCTGAGAGATAGGATGGGGAGAGAGGTGGAAGGGAGGCTCAGGATGGGGAACACATGTACACCTATGGCTGACTCATGTGAATGTATGGCAAAAACCACCACAATACTGTAATTAGCCTCCAATTAAAATAAATAACATTTTTAAAAAGTAAAAATAAAAAAACTTTAAAAAAGAATATCCTGGACTTCCTTGGTGGTCCAGTGGTTAAAAACCATGTGCCAGTGCCGAGGAAAGAATCTTCCTGATCTGGGAAGATTCCACATGTCATGGGGCAGCTAAGCCCATTCACCACAACTACTGATGCCTGCATATCCTAGAGCCCGTGCTCCACAGAAGAGAAGCCACCCCAATGAGAAGACTGCACACTGAAACTGGAGAGTAGCCCCCTTTTACCATAGTGAGAGAAAGCCTGCACACAGTAATTAAGACCCAGGACAACCAAAAACAAATAAACAAATATTAAAAAAAGAATACTCAGAAAAACTTTAAATTTTATATTTTAAAATTTTTAACTAAGTAAAAATTTGGAAATTTAAATACAGTTAGAGAAATCAAGAATCAAATCAAATAGTAAGAAAGTAAGGATGAGAAAATATGTTCATTTTCTTATCAGTAAATATTTATAGAGTGGACTTTGCTGGTGGCTCAGCAGTAAAGAATATGCCTCCCATGCAGTCTCAGGATTCGGTCTCTGGGTTGGGAAGATCCCCTGGAGAAAGAAATGGCAAGCCACTCCAGTATTCTTGCCAGGGAAATCCCATGGATGGAGGAGACTGGTGGACTATAGTCCATTGGGGCCACAAAAGATTTGGACATAACTAAGCACATGCACACATACAGCTAAGTAAGATACATATCAAGTCAGCAGATATATCTGCTGTGGAAAGTGGAAGAGGGAGTCTAGAGGCAGAGGGAAGGGATTTCAACCTCTATTTTTATTTGTTTATTTTTGGCTGTGCCTCACAGCATATGGGATCTTACTAAGTTTCCCTACCAGAGATCGAGCCTGTGCCTTCTGCAGTGGAATCTTGGAGTCTTAACTACTGGACCACCAAGGAAGTCCCTACAACCTTTTAAAATAGTCAAGAAAGGTCTCATTGAGAAGGGAAAATGTAAACAAAGACCTGAAGTAGGTGAAGAAACAGGCCATGTGGACTTTTAGGGAGAGCATTCTGGGCAGAGGGAATAGTATATGGCCCTGGAGTGGGAATGTTTACCTGTTTGAAGAATGACAAGGAGGTCACTGTGGCTGGAGCAGAGAGAGTTAGTAGAGAAGTAGATTAAGTCAGAGCAACACCGAGGGTGGAAATTGTACAGAGCTCTGTGAGCCACTTTAAGGGATTTTGTGTGTGTGTGTGTGTGAATGAGATGGGAAGAGATTTGAGGAGTTTCAGCAGAGGAGTGCCATGATCTGACTTGGGTTTTAAAAGGATGCTTTGTCTGTTGGGTTGATATTGGCAAAGACACAAACAGCGAGATCTGTTGGGAGGCAGTTTGCAGTAAGTCAGAATAAGATTGTGATGACTTGACAAGAGTGAAAGCAGTGAATGTGGTCAGTTTCTGAAAACATTTTTATAATAGGTTGGATATGTTGATGGACTGGAAGTGGAATATGAGACAGAGGAGACAAATATTTTGGTTTTAGCAACAGGAAAGAGAATTGCTTTTAACTAGATCAGAAAGACAATGGCTGGAATAGGTTTGAGTGGGGAGGAATTGGAGATTATTGTGTGTGAAGCCCCTATTAGCCATCCAAGGGAAAAGGTAGGCATTGGAATGATTGTGGAGAGGATAGAGATCCAGCCTAAAGATAAAAATGTCACCATTGTCAGCAAATTAATGGTAGTTAAGCAGAGAGACTAGATGAGATCATCAAGGAAGTGAGTGCAAATAAAGATGAGAGAAAACCCAAAAATCAAGTATGGGGAGGACAGAAAGATGATTATGAGTGAGCACAAGTGACCACTAAGGCATGGTCATTGAGCTAGGAGGAAAACCAGGAGTGGTGTTGTCCTGGAAGCCAGCTGAAGAAAGTTGTTCTAGGAGGGGAAGGACTGCCTATGTCAAATGCTACTTCGTGGTCATGTAGAAAGAGGACTGAAAACAGACCATTGTATCTAGTCAAGAATAACCATTGATGGGGACTTCTCTAGTGGTTGAGAGTCCCACTGCCACTGTAGGGGACATGGGTTCGATCCCTGGTTCAGGAGGATCCCACATGCTGCAGGGCAACTAAGCCCGTGCACTACAACTACTGAGCCAGCGCTCTAAGTCTGTGACCTGCAACTACTGAAGCCCGCATACCTAGAGCCTGTGCACCCCAGCAAAGAGTAATCCCCACTCACCGCAACTAGAGAAAGCCGATGCAAAGCAAAAAAGACCCAGAACAGCCCCCTCCCCCCAAAAGAATAACCATTGATGGTGCTCAAAAGAGCAGATTTGATTGGTTGCTGGGAGTGAATCTAACTCTGTTTGGAGGGAGTTCTTGGCCAATATTATTTATCTGTATCCCAACTAAACACCACCACACCCAATGCCCCTGTACCCTAAATTATTTTGAAGCAAATTCCAGTTACATCCCTACAGGATAAAATAAGGAGAGTGGTGAGATTGTGTGTGTCTTATGAGTCCTGCTCGGTTTCCCCTTTCTCTCTCCGTCTCTCCTTTCAGGATTCCTTGAGTCCCCAATCCATTTCCTTTGCACTCTGTGACAGATGGGGAAAGTGCCATTCACAGTCAATTACTTAAGGGAGATGGGATCCGAAAGTCAGTCCCCTGACCTTTAGATGGGACCAGCTCAGTGATGAAAGTTGTGCTCCACTGGTCCCGGTGGAATCTGGCTGAAGCGAGTCTCCAGCTGAGACTGCCTCCTCCCTTAGCCTTGCCCTTTTTCTTCACTTCTGCTTCCCTCTCATCCCTTTTCCTGAAAATGCTGCTGCTGCTGCTAAGTCGCTTCAGTCATGTCAGACTCTGTGCGACCCCATAGACAGCAGCCCACCAGGCTCTGCCGTACGTGGGATTCTCCAGGCGAAAACACTGGAGTGAGTTACCATTGCCTTCTCCTCTCCTGAGAATACTCCTTCAGTAAATCACTTGCTCAAGAAACCCTATCTCAGCTTCTCATTCTAGACATAAGGCATCATCCCCATTTTACTGATGAGGAAAAGTAGACTTTATTTATTTTTTAAATGGAGGAAAATTGTTTTACAATGTTGTATTGGTTTCTGCTGTACGACAACACAGATCAGCCACAATTATACATATATCACCTCTCTCTTGAACCTCCCTCCCCTCCCTGCATCCAACCCCTCTAAGTCATCACAGGGCACCAGGCTGGGCTCCCTATGTTATATAGCAGCTTCTCATCAGCTATCTGCGTCACCCATGGTAGTGTATATATGTCGATGCTACTTACTCTATTCACTCCACTCTTTCCTTCCCCCACTGTGTCCACAAGTCCAAAAGTAGACTTTAGAAATATTAAAAACACTCACTCATGTTCACATGGCTAATCAGGGCTTAAGCCAGAATTCCAGCGACCACATACTTAATCATCTCACCACACCCACCACTCAGCAGCATCCAGTTAATGAAGCAGGAGAGTGGAGAATGTCACTGAAGGGCTGAGAACATGCAGGAGCCCAGCCTCCTGAGCAGGCTATTATGTCAAAACTGTTGAGATACAGCCTCCCAACCTTCTGTAGCTCTGGGCAGGTGACATTACCTCTTGGGGCTTAACCTCCCTGAGTCTCTGCCTCCTCATCTGTCAGCCAGAAAAGGGTCTGCTAGGCGTCAGAGCATTTGGCACACTATAGATCAGCCCACCAACACATGAAGTGATTCTGATTTTTCTCACTGTCCTCCTCATACTTGGTTAGCTTGAAGATAATATGCCTTCTTTGCCTCTTTGGGTTCTTCAGTCAGGAATTGGAGTTGTTCAGCCTCATGAGGATGGGAAAGGGCAGAGCAACTTACAGACACCTTAAAAAAAGAATTCCTGTCCCCAGTGTCTCAGAGTGACCCCATGAAAGTGATGATATTGATAGTAAGATCTCAGACGCACTGGGTGCTTGCCATGTGCTTTACAACTGATTTACTCCCCACCTAAAATCTTATGAGATCATTATTTTTAATTCCACTTAATAGGTCAAACTGAGGCAAGAAGACAGAAAAACTATGCCCAAAGTCACACAAGAATCTAAGTGTTGAAGCCAGGAGGCAAGCTCTGCGTGACTCCACAGCTGGTGTTCTTAGAAAATATCGTGGGTTGAAACCTGGTTGTTAATAAATGAAGTCCATACTCACACTTTGTGAAACAAGGAATCTTTTTGCTTTTTTCTTCTTTTATTAACATGTTTCTGCTCCTTCTGTTTTCTTCCTGTGGCTGTTTCTTTTCTTTCCGCTTTGTTTTCTTTTTCTTCTTTTTTACACCCCTAGACATAAAGAGAATGAGGGATTCTTCCAGGGAGCCTCCTTTAACTCTAGATTATCAGAGCTGGAAAGCCCCCATTGGGTCAGTGAGCCCAACCTATCATTCTCAGTGGAGGCCTAGAGGTAAGGGGCAGAGTTCCCAGAGTCACACACATCACATGTTTCTTGACTCTTGCTTCCAAGCCCTTGGTCCCACATCATGCCGAGGTTACCAAATAGCACAAGTAGAATGAGCATATTTGGTTAACACCCGGGGTGCACAGCACAGTCTCTGTGTACATATCTGGATTATATGAATTTAAGTTGGTGTGGTATAAAAGTGTTAAAAGTTCTACTTCACAGGCAGAATTTAGGGTACTTAGAATCCCACTAAAATTTAAAGTTTCACAGGGTATCCCGTTATAGCACAACTGATGTTCAAAAGAGTTAACTGTAAACTGTGCTGCACTTTGGCGGGGACACAGAAGTGTCTGCCCAATTTTGTCAGAAGCCAGAGAAAAATGCCTTTGTTCACATGGAACTTCTGTGGGTGGATTGAGTTATTTATTAGCCATAGTGTAAGCATCTATTGTTAGTGTAATTTAAAATATTCTATAAGCCATGACAGTATAATTTGAGAATTCATTCAGTGGCACAAGTGCCAAAAAGTTAACTTAAAAATTCTTAGTTTGGGAATGGAAATCAGAAATTGCTATAGAAATGAGAAATTAAAAACAGCCAAACACATCAAGATGTAACATGCAGATGACAAAGGAGAGTGCATCCCATTTAGTAAATTAGCAACACGGTTGAGATGAAAAGCAGCTTTTAAAGCAAGGACCTCACTATGGCAACAAACAGCAACTCAGATACTAGGAAAAGTGCTGGTGCTATATCAACACACTATAATGTGCCTCTGAGCAAGGCTCTTGTGACTTTTGATAATTAGAAAGGGAGTAATGATGATAAATTTTATCACTAGTGTCTTTGTGATAAATGAAGTATGTTTAGAGGGGAAGAAATGTGTTACAAAGTTGAGAGATGTATGCATTCCGCAGACCCAGAGAAAAATTTTGGAGACTGTCCAAAAGCCCATCCAGAGAATCCAGTAGGACCACTCTGCCATCAATCCAACACTCTGATGTATGGGAGAATGCTCAAGGGATGGGAAATTCTGCAGGGACACAGAACCAGAGGGCATATGTGAAAAAATGCCAATTGTCTGTCAACCTAAGCTAACCTGCAGGCAGGGTTGCAATGACAGGAGCATTGTCAGTGCATGTGTATGAGAACCCGAGTACACTCCTTAGAATCAAATGCTGCTCTTACAGAAGCACATCCAAAGAACAGGCTTTAAAATGTATTATATTGCTTTCAGTGGGGTGTGCATTGGTCAGTGGGGTACCATAAATGGGTTATAGGGATACTGATATTGGTACTTTTCCCCCAGGGGCAACCAGGTGGCTGGAGCTTCTGAGACAGTTACCTAAAGTCATGAGCAATTCTTTTATCCTGACAATGTATAAAATGTTAGCATTTTCCACATGTGTTATGGTGTAAAAGAGATTGGGACCCAATGGGTAAGTTTTGTGTTTGTATGATTTTTTTTTTTGTTCAGGTGGAGATACTTTTGAGAATGAAAGGAGCTGTGTTCATTTTTACACCAGAACACCAGGCATAGAGTGGGACTGTTCCAAGAAAACCAGTATGTATGGTGGAGTATGCAGAATGATGGTCCCCAAGATGTCTAGGTCCTAATTTCCACAGCCTGTGAATATGTTACCTTAGATGGCAAAAGAGACTTTGCAGATGTAAGTTAAAGCTCTTGATGAGAGGAAGTTATCCTAGATTGTCTCGGTTGGGCCTAATGTAATCACAAATGTTCTTATAGGAGGGAAGCAGGAAGGTCAGAGAGGAGAAAAGATGCTACTCTACTGGCTTTGAAGATGGAGGAAGGGGTCACAGGCCATGGGAATACAGGTAGCCTTTAGAAACTGGAAAAGCAAGGAAGCAGATTCTTCCTAGAGTCTCCAGAAAGAACACAGCCCTGCCAGCATCTTGATTTTAGGACTTCTGACCTCCAACACCACCAGGTAACAAATTTGTGTTGTCTTACGCACAAAATGTATAATTTACTAAAGCAGCAATAGGAAACCAACACAAATAACTGTTTATAAGAAGTTTATCTTTATGCTTACATAATTTTTAAAAGTAAAAAGATATGTTAAAAGGAACTGAAATGAAATAATTATATTGAGAGGAGGGGTAGGGGAGGTTGACAAGTGTAAATTTTCATCTAACATCATGTTGATTAGTTGAGAAATGTCATTGAAGTGTATTATAGAGAAGAAATGGAGAACTAAAGAACTAAAACAAACAAACAAAAACAATTAAAGAATTGCCACAGGAAAAGGAATGGAGACAGTCAGATAAGGAGACTCTAGCTTTTAATTAAAAATCTCTTGGTTAAAAAAAATTAAGGATTTAACTATGGATATCTTTCTTAGAATATGAATATTAATTTTTAGAATGTGTGTTGGGGAGCCTCCAAGAGCTTACTGGTCTCAGGTTCTCCAAAACTCTAGCTTCCAGTCCACCTGAAAACAGCACACAGCTTCCATCTCACCCATACACACTCCCCTACCTCTGACTCGGCCAAGAGCTTCCTTGATCTCAGTCTCAGCACAGGACAACACCAACTGGTAGGTCTTCCTGAAATGAGGCAGGAAAAGGCCACATTGGATGAGGAATATTCCTAGGACTGGGCCCAAACTCTTAAGAGATCTGGAGCAGACCCACTAGGTCCCATCTGTAGAGTAGGTGGGCAGACCTTGGGATTACCTCACAATGGTAACAAAGAACCTGGGAGACCTTAGAAGAGAGAAGTGCCTCCTGGTTGCCACTGAAGAAAACACTGATGTAGGAGCCCAAAGCGAAGGGCTGAGGCTGACTTTGCCATGTCCTAGAAACTCCCTTTCATCTGGGCTTCAGTTTCTCACCAATGAAGTTAATAGGGGAGGAAATTCATCTCCCACATCTTTCAGCTCTGTGAGTCCTTCTTTTTCATACTTCAGCAACACCCTTCCTCCAACAGTTACTGGATGGGCCCTCAGTCAGTCAGCCACAGAATCATTATATATCACACTTTAGAGTTTCTTTGAGATGGTCTGCTACAACCCATTCATCCTTGTTTTTTTTTGGGATCTTAAATCCCCAACCAGGGATTGAACCCATCTCCCTGCAGTGGAAGCACTGAGTCCTAACCACTCGATCACCAGGGAAACCACCTCCCCCAATTCATTTTTTATATAGGAAACTGGACCTCAGAGAGACAAAGGTATTTGGTCAGGGTCATGCTTTATAAGAGGTATGAGAGCGTCTGGGTTCTCCTCTGAACCCTCACTTAGACCCTGGGGTTTTGTGGTCACAATTTGCCATGCGAAGGTATTGAATGGTACCTGTTTAATATAAAAATACATTGTGACTGTGTTTTTTTAAAAATACAATGTAAGATGCTATTATGGACAAAACAACCATATAAAAAAGATGAGTAGCTATATTAGTTTCTTATTGTGTTAGTTGCTTAGTTGTGTCTGACTCTGCGAATTGCTATCTAATAAATTACCATAAACTTTGTGGCTTAAAATGACTTACATTTATTGTCTCTCAGTTTCTGTGGGTCAGGAGTTCAGGCATGGCTTAACTGGGTTCTATGCTTATAGGGGCTCACTGGGTGCAACCAGGTGTTGGCTAAGCTCTAGTCTCATCTTGAGGCACAAATGAAAAATAATAGTTCTCCAACCTCAGGTTTTTGGTACAATTAATTCCTTTGCTGTTATAGGACTGAGGGCTCTAGCTTCTTGCTGACCCTCAGCTCCTAACCATGTGGGCTTCCTAACATGACCACTTACTTCTTTAAAGCCAGGTGGACTTTTTGTTTGTTTGTTGAATATCTCCTTTATTGCAGGTCTTAAATTTTATCTTGTGAAATATAGCATGTATAAAGAAAGGTTTATAAAATATATGTGTCTAGTTTAAAGAATGATATTAGAATAAATACCTGTATGCCCACCACTCAAGAAATAAGCTGTTACCTTAGAAAAAAAGCCCACTAGACTTTGAAGTCTCTAGAGTTCGCTGGTAAAACAAAATCTCATATGACATGATGTAATCATGAAAGTGACATTACATCATCTTTGCCACATTCTGTTGGTTAGAAGCAGAGAAGGCAATGGCACCCCACTCCAATACTCTTGCCTGGAAAAGCCCATGGACAGAGGAGCCTGGTAGGCTGCCGTCCATGGGGTCGCGAAGGGTCGGACACGACTGAGCGACTTCACTTTCAGTTTTCACTTTCACGCATTGGAGAAGGAAATGGCAATCCACTCCAGTGTTCTTGTCTGGGGAATCCCAGGGACTGGGGAGCCTGGTGGGCTGCTCTCTATGGGGTCACACAGAGTTGGACATGACTGAAACGACTTAGCAGCAGCATTGGTTAGAAGCACAGGTCCCACTCACACTCAAGAGGAGGAGATAAACAACAGCATGAATGCCATACATATCAAAGCAGGCAGCATGTTAGAGTCTGTATCACCACAGCAGTAAAAATTGTGTGTGTAGAAAGGACCGAAATTTCTACTCCTGTCAAGACAAGTGAGAAGAGGGCTAAGGTTTAGCCTTTGGATTTGGCAGTGGGAGGCATTGTTGCCATTGGCAAGAGCAGTTTCAGTGAAGTAATAAGGATGAAGTCAGCTGAAGTAAATCCAACAGAATCGAAAGTGAGAAATCGGAGAGTGAGTAGAGATGACTCTTTAAAGGAGTTTGACTGTGGAAGGGAACAGAGAGATGAGAGGTGAAAGGTCCTGTGGTGGTTATATGTTCATGGGAATGACGCAATGGAAAATAAAGGTTTGATGATGCAAGAGAGAGGGAAGGATCTTTGCAGGAGG